CCAAATTTTTAAAAATTTGGCTTTTTTTAAAAAATGGGGCTTTTCCCCCCCCCCCCCCCCCTAAACGATGAAGGACAGTAATCAAGCCAATTTAAAGCACTGAAAATAATTCTGGTGAGACATAGAATCTGTGCTAGGGAGGCAGATTCTACAGAAGGTAGAGATATCCTTTTGTGTTGTAGTCACAGGCATTAATCAGCAAACCAAGGAAGCAGCCATCAAAACTGAGGGAACTTTGCCAAGATTGTAATGCATCTTTTAGCTTTTTTTTCAGACTCAAGTATTATAAACCAAATACAATTCACTTTCTGTTTTTGTCCTTCATTTTTCTCTGTCATATTCTGGACACTTTAGAATTGCTTTTTTTCATTCTTAAAGTATTCAGTGGAGTTTTCCAGAGGCTACCTGATGAGTGATATCACAATAAACACAGAAGGAGATGAGCATCTGGCTCTCTCCTATGAAGCCAGGCATTAGAGAGACTTACAAAACTGTTAATGCCATTTTTCTTATCAAAATATTTTGTCTTGCAAAATATATTTTGCACAAATTATGTGATTTATGCTAAAATGGAATAGATTCATCATTGCTATTTTCAAATGAATCAATGTTTTCTAAATTTCTCAGTTTTAATTTCAAATACAGTAAATATTGATAGTTATCACTTATTTAAACCAAAGATCTTTTGTAGCCTCAAATAAGTTTTAAGAGTGTAAAGGGATCCTGAGACCAAAAAGTTTGAGAACCACTGCTTTAAGATAAAACTACTCTCTTTTTCTTTAAAAACAAAAGCACCTACACAGTTGTATTTCTTTCTCATTATTGCACCTGGCATAGTCTCATACACCCATTTTAATTATAATAATTAACCAAAGTAACTAACTTACATTTCACAGAGAAAATTGGGAGGAGGGAGGACATGGACAATTGAGAACTGTCTGTCACATGCAAGCACTTTAGCAGATTAGCAAAATTCATGAACACGCATGACCGGAATTTCCACCACAACATACATCACTTTTACATCTCCTTAAAGTGGCAAAAAACGAACTCACTCATTGACATGACTCAAAGGGGAATAGCCTCACTATAGCATATAAAAATAAGAAGCAAACATATATTACACTTTATAATCAAAGTTTCAGTATTCTAACTTAGAAATTATCTAAGTATGCAATGATTATTTATCAATTAACTCAATTTAACATTAATCCGTTTTAAGTTACCTAAGGATCTTGGAAATTATCTTTAGGTTGATAAGCTACAAAACATTACTTACATAAAAAGTTTGTCAAAATAATTATTCAGTTTACTTGAACAGGGCTGGCCAGTTAGCTCAGTTGGTTAGAGCATGGTGGTGCTAACACCAAGGTCACAGGCTCAGATCTCTGTACCAGCCAAGTGACACTTAATTTTATGAACTTGGATTCTTAAAATGTTACTGAGTTGGTTAACAGTTTCTGTAAAAAAGAAATTTTAAGTCTGGCACATTTAAAATATTAGACATTCATTTTCCTTATCTCTGAATTTTAGGAATATTCAATTTATATAAGCACTTCATCTCTATAAGTCAATCAGAACAAGTTCTTTTAATTTAAAAGGTGCTATAACCTAATTTATTGATACCTTCTGGGAAATAGGAAAGCATTCCATACACAACAAGAGGTAAAAGCCTTTCTGAATTGTAGATACATAGACACACAGAGCTTAATAGCTTTAGTTGTATAACTTCAGCCACAGGTCAAGTAGTAAACACGGAAACACAGCAAATCACCAGTCTAGATATCAAAGAACTGTTCTCCTTCCCAGTAGGCACAAAACCTTTAATTGATTTGAGCTCAAAATAGACAAACATACAAACAAAAACAACCAAGAAACAATATACCCTGTTCTCTCTCACCCAACAGAGAATACATCTCTATAATCCACTGTTAGCAATCACCAGATTGTCAGACCGTAAAACTGAATTCTCCATCATTTTTGCAACCAAGAGGGGAACAACTTATCAGCCATGCACAAACTAGAAAGAAAAATAAAACACAAAATTAGGAGAAAGGAAATGAAAACTAGAGAAATTCAAGTCTTTTACTGCTTTGGACTCACTCTGGAAGCCAAGAAAAGCCATGCATGGGGTTAGGTCACCCATAAGGTACACACCTCAGGCAACACAGTTTACCTGGCTCTGTTGGGTAAATCCAGTCAGCATCTCAATGGATGGCCTGCAAAACTTTTAAAGGATAATTTTTTAAAAGGTAAAATTATGACTCTTAAACAAACAAAAAATAAACATGTGCCACAGATTTTAATTAATTAAAGAAGGAGGGAACCAGTAAGATTTTCAACCAGTTTAACAATCAGCTTTTTTCCTTAAGTGCTGGTAACTGACAAAGACTTCCTCTTGCTGGGGCCTGAGTATGTTAAAGGAGCATTTAGACTTATTTTAAATCTAGCTTACTCTCCTGACCATCAGCATGTTGAAAACTCCGTCAGATTTCTAAGATCTACACATGGGCTCAGGAGTGAGTGTGCAAACTGGCTGATTTTGCTGGGGCTTCTGCCCTGAGGCCTTTCATTGCTCTCCTGATCTGTCACTAACACTTGGTTTCTTTCACAGTGACAAAGTCCAGGCCCTCTCCTATGCACAGCACACGCGGCAGCTCATCTCATGTGGCGGTGATGGTGGGATCGTCGTCTGGAACATGGACGTGGAGAGGCAGGAGGTGGGTGTCAGAGCAGGCTGGGTTGGGCCCTGAAGTTCAGCCCAGCCACCTCTCCTGCTTATTTCTTATTTCTTTTATGATTAAACCATGAAATAAGACATGTTATGTCAGAGAATTCAAAATGATAGTATAAAAAGAGTTTCTATATTTTTTACCTCTCACAAATTGGCATGTAACATTAATTTGATAGAGATTTCATAAGAATTTTGTCTGAAACTAAGCTGTTTAGACTTTAAATCTGTTACACCAGTCACAGCAAAAGTATAGGTGAGAAAAAGGAACCACCTCTTTTCCAGTGATAAGCCCTTTGGTATAAGATGCCTTACGAAAACAGAAAACTTACATGCTTTATGTTATTGAGGGAAATAGTGGCTAAGATGAAGTAAGAATCCTTAGTTTGGTATTAATAGAAATACTAGAAATAATTATTCTTGTGCTTCTTTATGACTCATGTTCTAAACAGTTCCCCTAATATAAATACATACTTGTCTTTTTAAAGCACATATTAAAATTTTATTATAACACTCTTTTTTAATGAGTTTTTAATATTTGAGCATCTTAACAACTAATATGTTCACTGAATATCCCCTTTGACAAGTACTTTGAAGTTAGCCATTTTGCTATTACCCTAGAATTATTCTAGGTAGACTTTCTAGGTCTTTGAAGTTAACCATTTTGCTATTACCCTAGAATTATTCTAGGTAGACTTTCTGGGTCTTTGAAGTTAACCATTTTGCTATTACCATAGAATTATTCTAGGTAGACTTTCCCTTTGACAGGGTACATTCTTCTTTTTTTTATTTCTTGCAGAATGTAAGAATTAGATAGAAAAGCAACACTTTGAAAAGACAAAAGCGATTTCCCAACTTCTTTCCATGCCCTCACCCCAGTCTCATTTCAAGTGTGTAGTTGCTATTACCCACAATGTAATGCCTTTCAAATGCCAGTAATTAAATGCTTAAGAAGATTAAAGCTTTATTTGCTCAAACCATAAATCCCCAGGAGTTCTATTAGTAACTAATTAAAATGATCATTACTGTTAGGAAGTGGGAAATTGTAGGATATTGCTTTTGAAAAGTACACTTGGCACCATATATATAAAGGCAGAGGATTGTCACAATGAGTGCTGGTCATGCTAATAGGCTCCCGCATGATTGTGTTGTGGGTTGGGTTCTGCAAAGTAGCCAGGTTTGAGTTAGGGACAGTCACACCTGCTCTGGCTTCTTTCCAGGCCTAACTGACCAAACTAAGGGAGGGGAGAACAGCCAGGTTCTTTTCCCTCAGTGCAAGCAGCCTCCACCCTTTAGGACAGAGGCCAAAGAGGGACAACGATGTGGGTCCCAGAGACGAAGGCAGGTGGTTGATGGGCAGCGCTTCGAGCCTTCTTGTTTAAATTCTGCCTCTTGGTATGCAGGTCTGTGGGCACTCGGTACTTGTTGATTCTTTTAAAGTCTTCTTGAGTCAAAGCTCTAAATAAGCAGTAGAGATAATTCCATCCATTTTTGCAAGTATCATATTTTATAAACATAAATCTGCTGAGATGTTTTTTGTAATTTGGTATCTGTGGAGCTGCTTCCTGGTTTTGGCAAGTGCTATGTGGTACTCACCTTGGGAGGTCTGAGACGTATTATGAAGCAGTCCCTAACATGAAGTACAGACAGACTTTCTGGAAGAAAAGACCTAAAGCTTCAGTATACCATTAAATGGTATAAATGATGAAATTACAGTTGATGTAAAGTAGAACATCAGTGCTGAAAATTTTGGAAGGGGTGTTATCATTGGCTAATACTCTCAGCAAAGGGTTTGTGGAAGGGCCTGGTGCTGAAAGATCGATGGGTCCTGGACATGCCCTCACTAGGAGCATCATGGGCTTTGCAGGCCTAGAAAAACCAAGAGCATGACAAGGTGAAGGTGAGAGGAGGCATGTGCTGCTTTAGTGCTCATGAGTTTAGAAGTAGTCAGAGGTGAGAGACAGACAGACAGATGATAGATGGAGCAGGTGATGAAAGACCCCAATGGGCTGGGTACAGATCGGGTTGACCTCCTGTAGGTAAGATGTGTTTATAAGTTAATGAAATCTATTTTTTCAAACTTTTATCATTTTTTAAAAAGTGTATATTATGCATAGTATGTGTTCTTCATAGAAATGTTACAAAATGCTCATTAACAAATAGAAAACATGTCAATTACTCATCATACCACTATCCAGAACTATCACCCTTAATGTGTTGGCAAACATCCTTCCTTACATTTTTCTCTACACATACACGTGTGTGAGATTTTTTAACAAAAAATGGAATCATACTGCACATGCTAATTTTTTCCCCCTTTCCTTGTCCATACTCCCTATTCCCTACTCATAGATCTTAGACACCAACCACGATGCGTTTGATATGTGTCCTAAACACACATGCTTCCTTGTAAAAGATATACAGAGGTGGGGGGTTGTTAAAGTTGGCATAAATAATGATGTGCTACGAGTCTGATTCTGTTTCCAACTTTTCCCATTGATTCCTTTTCAGCTCATCCTGCTTGTGTGTATGTTGGGCTGCTTCTGCATAAGATCCCATAGTATGTAGCAATCACATGTCACTTCTGTTCCCCAAGCAAAGGGGATGTAGATTGCCACCACATTCCCTGGTACCACACCCAGCACCCAGATGACCTTCCCATACATGTCATCTCATTGACCTGTGTGAAACTCTGTTAAGGATATAAACCGAAGAGTGAGATTGACCAAAGGTGTGGGCTTGATTTTGCTAAATAACAACCAAACAGCTGTACCCATTAATACTTCTCATGGAGAACAGGGAGTTTCCTGACACCTTACATCCTCACCAAGTTACTGTCACCTTTTCTGGTTTTGCCCTTTTGGAGACAGGTATAAAATAGTATTTCATTTTTATTTACGTTCTCTGTGTAACAGTAAATTTGAGCTTCTCTTCACATACTTCTGCCATGTAGTCTTCTCTATCAACTGCTTGAACAAGCAGTTTCTTTTGTATCATCTCCCAATTTTTCATCTGTTTCTTGCCATTTTCTTATTGGTTTTCAGGGGTTCTTTGTATAGCACAGATATTACAGGGGTCCTTTGTTGGTTATAGACTTTGTAAATATCTTCTCTAGTGTCTGTTAACTTTGTGCTGTACATACTGTTTAATAACCTGGGTTTTTCCAGTTTATTATGTACTGAAAATGTCCCATGTCTTTAAATATTTATTTCTACTATATAATTTTAATGGTAATTAAAGCTGATATTTGAGAAATTGTTCCATAAACAAACATTAATACTGCCCCCTCCCTTCTCTAAGGAGGATATCGATATGTTTTTTATTACATGAAGTGGGTTGCTAATTCGGTTTTTTTCAGGCCACTGGAAGTTCCTGATTAACCCAATCTGATTACAGACTGTAAGCATCACTTGATTTATTTGTCTAACAAAAGAGTATTTACGTTTTTTTTTATTTTGGGGCGTATGTCTTCCTGATTTTCCTGCATCATAAATGTTCTGAAAAAGTCACAGCATAGATAAGTCTTTTAGAGTTGAAACATTGTCTTTAGCTAAAAACTTTGTTATTTTATGCAATCTGTCTTTAAGCTGAATAAGTAGGGCATAAAAATTACAAAGTAAATCAAGGTTTACTTCTTTTCTTTGGTTTTAATAAAATAAATTGACCAAGGATCAAGCTCTTAATGTGTCACCTTTTTACTTTCTTTTTCTTGAGAAAATGTGTAGTTTTAGGTCTATCTCTACCTAAAGGTAGAAGAGGCTAAATCCCCAAATCTGTTTCATAGCAGTTATTCCTCAGAAAAGGATTATGTCAATAGGAAAAGGACTTCCAGCGCCTTCCCTGTGCTGCCCACTGTGACTCTCAAGGGGCTGGGCCATTGTTACTGCATTTCTCAAACTTGTTTATCTCAGGCCTCTTTCATAGTAAGTGTCCTGTGAGTCAAATGTCCCTGGAATTCACTTTTGGGAAACCCTGAGGTTGGATGTATTTTTCAAGGTCCCTTGGGTTCTGTGCCATATAGAAAGAGATGAATTCCTCTGCCAAATGATGAATTCTACAGAGTTGAGTGTGGAACTCTGGAAGCAAATGCAGCCACTATGTGCATAATCCATAAGGATTTGCTAAAGAATAGCTTTAAGGGCCGGCCCGGTGGCGCACTGCTACAGTGCGCCGCTTGGGAGCGCGGCGGCGCTCCCGCGAGGGTTCAGATCCCACATACAGACTGCCACTCACTGGCTGAGCGAGGTGCGGGCACAACACTGAGGGTGGTGATCCCGTTGCCGTTCCCGGTCCGGTATGGGCGCGACACTGAGGGTTGCGATCCGTTGCCGGTCATGAAAAAAGACAAAAAAAATAGAATAGCTTTAAGCCAAACACACTTTTCAAACCTCTCTGACATCATTTAGAGGACTCGTGATGGAATTGGGAAGTAGTGAACAAAGCCAGAATAGTATGTGACCCATGAGGTAAGAAGCAGAGCCTCAATCCCTGTGGGGCCGTGCCATGAGTGGACAGTCGACAAGTAGCTTCCCTGAGTATCCGCCGTGGTCAAGCGGTATCACTCCTACACCGGCGGCTGTATGTGTGTGCAGCGTGCAGTTAGGTATCGTCGTGCGTGATCAGAGCAAATGGAACCACACAGAGAATACGAGATGAAGTACTAAATCCTCAGCATGGCTGTCAGGACTCTACGCGAGCCATCCCCTCCAGCCATCCTGAGCTTCTCTCAGCCCCCTTTGCCTAGCCTCCTCCCATCCATGCTCAGGTCTCAGCTGTCGTGTCACTTCTCAGAGACCCCAGCCAGGGTCGGAACCTCCTGTTACACCTATGTCATAGCGCTTTGTGCTCCTCCTTCTCAGGCCTTCCTATTGTACTTATTTAAATAATTATTAATAATAATATTTCGTGTCTGGTCTTCCCTGATAAATTATAAGCTTCATGATGGAGACTCGTTTTATTCACCACTACATCTCATCCCCAGGGCCTGACATGTAATAGGCATTCAGTAAATATTTTTTGAACGGTTGACTGCAAAATCACACTTGTGTTTCTTATAAACACATCCTGATTCTGTAAGTTTCATCAGTATCAGTTGTCCCCACTGCTTCTGTGACCCCTTGTGTGCTTTTTTTTTGACAAGACCCCTGAATGGTTGGACAGTGATTCCTGCCAAAAGTGTGATCAGCCTTTCTTCTGGAACTTCAAGCAAATGTGGGACAGTAAGAAAATTGGCCTAAGACAGGTAGGTGATATGGAGGCTTTGTCAAAATGTAATTGTGTGGAAATAACTTAACTTTGTGATCTTAGAAGATAGAGCACTCCTGGTCAGGAGTTGTGGAGGGATAGATTAGTATCCTGGAGTCACCTTGTGACTGAACGTTAATTTATTCCCTTTAGCTACTGTAGATCATTCCTACTAGATTCAGTTTCTGTAGTGATTTGTTCCCAGTAATAAAGGGATACTATTTTAGAATCCTGGTGGCATCTACACCTTAAAATTACAGGCATCATTCTTAGCTCATATGGGTACCAAACCATGAAGTGGTATTTTTTTTACTTTCCCTCCCTTTGACTTTGTTATTTAGGCTTGCAATGCAGCATTTTCTATCTGATTCCATCATTTGTTTTGGTCTTCCCCAAGGAAATGAAACGTTAGGTCACCTAAGCTTAGCGTGGTCAAAGTACAATGGATTGAATCAGGTTTCATCCCCGTTCTCCTTCATCCAGCAGCATAATCTGGAGATGTCACTTCCTCAGTACACTCCTATTTAAGGTCACCCGACCACTAGGTGGTTCTCATGATGACAATTGGAAAGGGCTAAGAACGGGGAAAGTGGGAGAGTGGGGAGGTGGCACAATCAGCTCTGTTTCCCAGCAGTCCTCATTCTGAGTAAACAGAGCCCAGAAGGAGAACTCGCCTGGTGTGTTCTCTCCCTCCTCAGCACCATTGCCGCAAGTGCGGGAAGGCGGTCTGCGGCAAGTGCAGCTCCAAGCGCTCCTCCATACCTCTCATGGGCTTCGAGTTTGAAGTGAGAGTCTGTGACAGCTGCCACGACGCCATCACAGACGAAGAGTAAGTGCCAACAGTCTGCAGCACTCTCCAGGTTAAGGAGAGAAGCGAGCTAGAGAGCTGCCCTGAGCGCTCTAGCCATGCCTCATATTGCTCTAGTTCCTGCTGCTTTAGAACGCAGACCGTGGCAAGTGGGGAAAAGCCCTCGGTTGCCATCAAGAGATTATGTTGTCTTGTGAGATAGGAAAAGAGAGAATATGCCCAAAGAATTCATCTCTGGGCTCTTCCTAATCCCAGGGATATGTGCGTTTAAAATAGATGCTGTCTGCTCATTGACTTGAGAATTGCCCAGAAGCGCAGGGGTCCTGGGTTTGCTTTCTAGCTCAAGCTATCTTTACAGGAGCTGAATCAGCCCACAGGCTCCAGAAGGTTTCATTTTCCAGGAAGAGCTAAGCTGCTTTACCTGAGAAGCAAATATTCCCATTGTCCAGCTACCCAGCTGGCTGCTTGTCAGTCCTGCCTGGTAACCAAGGACCTTAGGTTACTGCACCTTGGTGTGCTTTGGAGAGTGGAACAAATCTCTGTTGTCTCTTTAATGATGGCCTACTGAAAACTGCCCCCAGAGGTACACAGAATGCTCTGCAACAGGCTTCCCTTTCAGAGAGTTACAGGAGGGTCTCCCAGGAAATGTGTCCTCCCAGTCTTCCCAGCACCTTGTATTACAGTCAAATATTTAAGTATTCTTATTTATCCATATCAATTACCAATTAAGATGCCCTTGCATGAGTGTTTATGTTCATTGACTATTTCCACTCATTATACATGATGAAATTAATAAGAGAGTTCTTTTCATTGAATTAGAAATCTGCAAGAGACCTTAGAGATATTCTAGTTTAATTCTTCATTTTATAGATAAAGACACAGACCCAGAGAGTCTAAGGAACTCGCAAATTAAGCCTACGTCTTTAGTTCTAAAAACTTAAAGCTTTTAGCACGCTGCAGACCTAGTCTACAGAGATATTTGGCTATAGGAAAAAGGGAGAAGCACACCGTCTTCAGAGAGCCACTGCAGCAGCGTTGGGATTCCCTGAAAATGACTGGAGAGTAGCTGTCTCCCTTGCTGTGCTCCTGTCCCCTCCAGCTCACTGTCACTCCTGCCTCTTGCATTGCCTCTAGACCAGCTAGGCAGTTGACAAACCTTTTTACTTAAAAATACACAAAATTAAAAAATACAAAACAAATGATGATGCTTATTTATTTTGTTTTGCTTGTTAAAGCTTTAGAATACTACAGAAAAAGTAAGTCTGCAGTTATACCAGTTAAAAATGCAAAAGAGTGGATGGCCCTTCAATTATAATGAAAGTTAGTAGTAGTTTAGCAAGTATGCCTTTTTTTTTTTAATTAAATATGCAAAGGTAGACAATTTCACTGGCAAGTCCTTCTGAGCTCAAACTTATCAAAAGCACTGTAGTTTAAAAAAGATTTCCCAAAAGCACAGGTAGATATTTTCACAGACTCCATCAGAGCAACACATTCTCCAAGAGACTTTTGGAGATTTTATCTCTTTCCCATTTTGAAGATTATAAGAATTCCTTCTTCTTCCTCTTTTTTTTTTTCTTTTTTTTCTTTTTTAAATCACCAGGGAATAAAGGTGATCTGAGGAACATTTCTAACAGTGAAGCAGGTTTAGCCATTAGGCTAAAATTAGAGCTTAATGTCATCCTACGTCTCCTTCATTCATATGTCACTGCCTTTTACTCTGGGAAATGTTCTTTGCCCCTTCTAGACGTGCTCCCACGGCTACCTTCCATGACACTAAACATAATATTGTGCATGTACATTTTGATGCAACCAGAGGATGGTTACTGACTTCGGGAACTGACAAGGTTATTAAGGTAAGACACCGTCTTGTTAAGAAGCTTTCCATCTTTGGTCTTATGTAAATATGCAGGAGAACCAAGAACATGTTGAGGTACTGCTCAAAAGATTATCCTTGGCAGTGAATATTTCTGTTACATGCGAGGTCCCGTGCCAGGCACGGGCTCTATACAAAGAAATAAGACATGGCTCCAGCCTGCAAAGGAATGGACAGTCTACTTGGAACACACTCTTGAAAAGATAAATAATAATAGGTCACGTGTGCAGCAGTCAGAAAAGTAATACAGATGAGAATTATCTTAGGAGTTCAGCGGAGGCAGACGGTGCTGCTGGAGAAGGCTGCGTGAAGGCTTCATGAGGTGGAATCAGACTGAGTACTGAATGAAAGGCAGGACTTTAAGCCAACAGGCAATAAACAAGATCTTTTCCCACTCAGGTCAATTAATCCAAAAACATTCATCCAGGACCTCTCTGAGGACTGTGGTAGACCACATGGATTCAGTACCACTGCAGAGGCCCAGGACAGAAAGGGCCACCCTCACGTCATTCCCCGAGAAACACAGAGGCCCAGGCTCACCAGCACACTGAGCTTTACCTCTGACCCATGCTGGTCCCACTCTTTGGAGGTGCAGCAGGATGAGGTTATTAAAATAACTCCCTGTGGAAGCTGCCAGACCTCTTTGCAAGTATTAAGTAAACTCTGGGAGCCTCAGTTCCTTCATTTTTGAAAAACAAGACATCTTGTAGAATTGTAAGGAAGATTAAATGAGAAGATATGGAAAGGACACAGCATGTGCTTGGTGTCCAATATATGTTAGTTTCCTTCCCCTTAAATGGATCTAATCTGCTTTTGTTCTCCATTAGCTGGATTAAAATCTCAGCCATTGTCATGTTTTTGAACTTTATGTTGAATATTTTAATGAAAAAATATTTTATAGATTTAGAAATCATGTTAGTATAGTACGTAGTTGCTTTTTAAATAAAATTCACTTGAATTCAACTGTATGGGCTGTTTATCTTCAATACAATTTAATTTTGGTTCATCCTATATCTTCTTTTTTTTGTTGTTTTTTTTTTTTTTTTACAGTTGTGGGATATGACCCCAGTAGTGTCTTGAGGACTCTCCCAGGAATCAGAAAGATAGTATTTCCTAAAGAAACTATTATTCTAATCCAAATCATTACTGGAGAGGGAGGACAGGTATGTGAGAAGTGAGAGCAAAACTGAAGACCCTGGAGGAACTGCGTATCACCTACAAGCACAGCAGTGACCTAGAGAATGGCCACATGCAAGGGGACTCTTCCAACTTGTTCATACAATATAAAGGAAGATATTTTTTTAACAAATGGTTTATACAGTCTGGCTGTGCTACATTGTTTTGAGTATACTGAAAACTCTGGGGTGTTTAATTTTTATATTTTGCAGCACTCCGTTTTACTTGTTGCTTTGTGTGTGGGAGAAATGAGGGAAGCATCTGTTCAGGGTATTTGGGTCATTATAAAGTAGTTCCCGTGTTTCTGTACTTCGGCATGTATCATATGGCCAGCATCTCTTTCTTCCCTTCTCTCTGCATCTACCAGCACCTTCTCTGCTTTTCACCAGAGTATATAAGGGTACTTCAGAAAGTTTGTGGAAAAATGGAATTAAAAGATAATACAAATATTTCCATGAACTTTTTGAAAACCCCTCATATGTATTTTCACTGTTTATTCCCAGTGTTTCTGCTTTCATGTCCTCTTCCAGTGGAGAGATTTGGAAAACCATTTGTGTGGATTCAGCTACTGACTTCTTGAATCCCCTGAACAGTGATCTGTTGTAATGTCTGACTTCTTCCTGGTCTTATTGACTAGCAATGACCTGTGTTTCTGCCTCAGTTTTCTCTGTATTTCCATATTCAAAAATGTTCCCAATCATCATCATCACAGTAGATTATTATAACTCAGAGCTTCAACTCTCAGTGCCTGGATCATTTGGAATTCAGTTGGAGCCTTCTGAGCCTTTTATGTTTTAGTTTTTTTGACACAGACATTAAAAACAAACAAAACAAAAAAACCATACATGCTTCAAAAATAAGTGTCTTTAAGATGTGTCTTTCTGTGTGACATCATCTCTGAACTTGAACATGTTCTTTACTGCAAGATCATAATACTGCTCTATTCCTCACCATCTGTATTTTCTTCCCCTTTAAAAACTAGATATTTAGACATTTTTTCTTAGTGTATTTCATCAGAACACTTTGCACACTTTCATACTAAAACTGAATGTGATCTGATACTCAGAGGTACTGAATCCTATGGTTCATGCTATCTTCCTGTTGCAAATGTAAAAGAAGACGTAAGAAAATGAACCAGAAGAATTCTTATTTCTAAGAGAATCCAGTCAAGCTTGATAAAATGAAATATTCTTGTGTTCAGTGACTCAACTTGGGATATTGAAGTCTTTTTTAAAAAGCCTTATTTTCACCTGTAAAAATAGAATTGAAATTAACGGCAAGCATGTGCAAGCAAACCTGCCCCATTCTGAGCACTTTACATGTACGACCTCATCCGGTCCTCACCTGTCGGGAGCATCGGTCGGGGACCACCAAGTCTCTTGAGGATAACCAGGTCGGTGAAGCCTTCCAAATGAACAGGCCAGTTGCTTGCCCTTCCCTGTCCAAGCCCTACCTCCACAGTACCTTGCTCTCTTCTGATTTGACAGTTTTGGGGTAGTAGGGTTTGAGTGAAGTTAGAATCCTCCCTGTTATTTTTCCTCTTCTGGAGAGCATTTTTTCCCCCATGATCATTTGTTTCTTTTCTAACTGGGGGAAGTACAATAGCCATACTTGCCTGCCACCCATAGACCAAGTGCAAGGAGATGGGGCTTCCTGCAGGTGATCCTGCTGCCCCAGCATTGAGAAGCAGAGCCAGTGTGTGTGTCTTGTGCAGCCACGGTACGGGACAACTGTCACCTGGGACTTAGAGCAGCCCATGTGACCAGAACTCGGAGGACACACATGCACACACACACACAGAAGCCATTACCACTCGTCACTTCTCTGCCTCCTTCCACACTGCCCTTGCTTGCACAAGTCACAGCTGTTATAACTCCTTTGAGTCTTTTCTGCATGATTGCTCTGTGAGGGAGCTTTAAAAAGGGAATTAAATTTGAAATATTCAAATACCTGTTTTATAATTTATTGCTGGAAACTGCAGCCACTTACTAAGTTGTACATAATGGGGAACTGTGTGTTGGAAATGAGTAGCAGAAATGAAGCCCGCTCTTTTCCCATCCTGAACATGGAAGCTTGGCCTGTAGGCAGGGAGGGAAACATGGTGTTAAGAGGCGGAGGCTCAGGCGCCCATCAAGCCCTGCGTGGATTCTGAGTTAGGTCTAGGCGAGTTCAGACGTCATTCGGGGAGCTGAGGTCTCTGTCACGTCACATGTACACTGTGGTTGCTGTGGTCTGTGAGTCTGCACTTCACTCTGGCCATCTCCCTCCCAGCCCTGCAGTGGCCAAGCCCTCAAGAGGCCACTCAGAGGTCGAAACCACTTGAAATCTTGCTGGTGAGACTCATGGTCCAAAACCACAGATAGAGCAAGGTGTCTACTGCTCTGCCCTTGGCTTTCCCCTCCTCTGTGTGGGTGCTGGCATTTGGAGAAAAGAGTTTAGTAAACCAGTTGTGTGTGGTTTTAATACTGTGAATGCTTGAGTTTTGCATTAAGTGGCTCCACCATTTCTGCAACTCGTAGAGAACTATGTGCTGATGTTGGGATTCTTCCAAGCATTTTATGTAAGTGGAGGCTTCTTTCCTTAGTAAAGTGAGTGAAAGCTGGCACAGCACTTGGCTTTTCTCCTGTCCAGGTGAACTGTCATAGTTCTTGTTTTACCCTATAGGATTTGCACTTGACATATATTTTTGCTCTACTTTTTAAACATACAGCAGCTCTGGCAAATAATGCCTAACATGGCTGTGTTGGAAGAGTGGCAACACTGCACGTATCATACACAAACTTGTTCTCTATTTGATAGGATAAAACCAATCATATGCTCTTGGTTCCTGCAAAGGAATCACATTACTGGAGCTTTCGCCTTCCTGGATGATGTTTCCACAGCAGCAAAAATGGTTTTAGATGAAGTACTTGGAACCTTGTGTCATTTGGTACGAGGTCAATCAACGATAAGGTATTTCTCATTTGACTGAATTGTTGAAAGAATCATACCATCACAAAACTGGAAGGGATCTTCAGACATCTAGAATGTTCCATGCAGAAAACAATTTGGTCATGCATGGCAGTCAGCAGTAGCTGAGGTGTAAACAAGAGAATCTAAAAGAATGTTTGTGGAACAATTGTGTTTGAACTTAACCTACTCATGGCACGAGTGGGAGGTTCAACCTCGGTGCCTTGAGACAGGAGCTCTCTGGAACCAGGTTTGCTCCTCTTATCATAGGCATATTTGACACTTCACTTGGCCCCAGCCCTGTGGTTTTGAGCAGGTGGGTACTACACGAGGAGGCAATTACTGCAGTTCTTCAGCCTTTAAACTCCTTCCTCCACTTTTCCCCACAGTCTACCCGAGTGGCAACATTTAAGTGAAAAATCCAGGGGCACTGAAATCGCACCTTGCCCTGTGTGTCTGCAGGCTGGCCGGGGTGGGCTTGTGGGCCTACAGCATTTCCTCTCTTATGGAACACTGTCTTTTCATCTTCTGAGATGCAATTTTTAAGAGGATAATTTATTTTTGCTTAACAGTCAATTATTAAGGCTCAAATTTTGGCTTTTAAGCAAAAAAAGATAGCTCTAAACTATGTGTCACAGTTATTGGACATAAATATTCATTAAATGAGATTCCTTTGGTTTTGCTTTTTCATGGTTTAATTGTATGGAAATTATCTCTTTCACTGAGATTTGTATTTTAAAGTGAAAGAGCATTTTGCTAAAACATTCTTTTTTCCTCCTCTCCTTTAAAATAATGTTAAGTTAAATTTTTCCTGGTGTGAAAATGGATATTTAGCTACTTGATTGGAAAACACAGAAATCAAGTCCATTTTGAACACTGAGTATTCCAGATGATCCTAGAGATTCTAGTCTAGGTCAACCAACTAATTTGTTGAATGCCCACCATACACAAGGCTTTGAACTAGGCCCGGGGGTTACAAGGTCTCTAGGTCTACTCCCAGCTAGACAGAGGCCACACAACGAATACATGGATTGTTTCAATAGGATGTGATTAATATAACGACAGTGGTGTGCTTGGGGTCCCACCCCAGGAGCTGCCCAGAGTGACCCTAACCCAGCAGGTGGGGCAGAAAGGGTTTCACAGAGGAAACGACTTCTGAGCTGAGAGTTAAGAGATGAGAAGGAGTTGAGTAAGGGGGGGAAAGGAAATGAGTGTACAAGCTGCAGAAACAGTGTAAACAAAGCCCAAGATCTGGAATCAGCCTGGTGTGCCCAAGGACCACAAGTGGGTTGGAGCTAGCAGAGAATATCAGGTGACTCAGCTGCGGTCCTGGAGCCCGGGCTCTTGTCGTTAGACAAGACACTGATGCTCCATGGCCTCAGAACAAGAGGCACACACAGTTCACCATGAGAGGTTTACTTAGGCTCATCCTGCTAGTATCAGTGCTAGTATCAGTTTCTCTTTTGGAAATCTCTAGAATTGTTATCTGAAAATGACCCATGGTAATTTTTGGCCTTTCTGGGTGCACAGCCTTTCACTGGAGGCTGTGAGGTGGAGCTGGAGACCATCGCACGGCCCTTGGCCTGGAAGAACTTACAGACTAAGGCTCAGCTGCTCCGCTTTGAAAATCAAGATCTTGCTCTGAGCAGGCGTGTGCATTGCATGAGTGCACTCCTCTTGATCTGAGAAGGAGCATGCACTGGACTGTGTGCAGGCCAAGTGTTTGGGTGGAGAAGCAGGCAGCTGCTGTCTTCTGTTCCCTTTCGGCTTTAGACTGCTTTCACGGTAACAGATCATTTTAGTACAATGTGTAAATGTGGCAAATCCTTACCACAGGGCACTTGCCAAGTAGAAGGGAAAGATTTTTCTCAATTCAGGAATAGTAAAAAGGGCTCAGGCAGCCACCGCCCGCCAAGGCAGGCACACAGCACATCAGGGCTGGGCTTGGCAGCGCCTGTTTCTTGCTATTACATCTTTTGCCTTTTTCTTTCAGGACCCAAGTACTGTATGTCCATAACTGAATTCAGCAACATCTGTGTTCATGTTTAAACCTCAGCTCACCTTCACAGCCAAGAACCATATACCACCCTTCAGGGGTTTAGTTTGTATTTTTGCCTTTAAACATTACCCTTTCCACCAAGAGGCTTATTTAGGTCTAACAATGTCTAAAAATTCAGTCTGTCCTATGTTGGAATGGGATCCCTCTTGTATTTCCCATGCCAGGGAATTCCTTAATAGACAGTAGGTAGCCCCTTCTCAGAGACGTTAAAAAGGAGATTAAAACGAGTGAGGAATGAATTTGTAGTCATTTTCAAGGTCCCTTCCAATGCTGTGATTCTGTGATTCCATGAATCTTTATTATTGGACTGGTCCACGGACTTCACTGAGACAAACGAGAGCACATTGCCATGACTTTGTCTTCTGTCATATCAAGTGAATTACTTTCTGGGTTTTGTTATTTAGAGCCTCGTAGGTTTGGTTTTAGAAAAAGATGGAAATTAATCATGGTACCATCTCATTTAAAATAGATACCTCAAAATGTTCACCTTTATGAGCCAGGAGTATCTGACTTTCTTGGGAGAGGAAGTGTTGGGGTTAGTTCAGAGGTTAGATTTAGAATCTGACCTTGATATTTATGATTCTTTTTTTCTTTCTTAGTTCTCTGGGATGCATGAGAGGGTGAGCTATAACTAACAAAAAGGGAATATGGTTTGAAACAATTATCTCACTTATATACATTTTTAAGAAATCATTTACGTGGATGGCAGCCTGTGTCAGTAGCATACATATGAAGTGGACCAAAACATTTGTGTCACTGTTAACCATTGCACTCATATATGTGTCTTGTACCATTTGCCGTGGTTTTTAAATGACTGTTTTTTCAAGGTACTGTTGTTTTGCCAAAGAAAATCTTTATGTGAAAATTGCAAAAACAGTTATAACTGGACAACAGGGAAGGTGCTACCCCACGAGTGCCTGCCTACCACTTCATTCATAACCAGGGACATGGACTCTTGCATTCTGCACAGCCAGCAGGCTGCAGCCCTCATCTGGACCTGGCTGCAGTGGTGTGTTACTTCCTGGATATCTTTTTCTTTTTTTGCAATGAGGATGTTCTCCAAGGGCTCAGGCTGAGAATGTAGTCAGCCTGAAATTGGGCCAGATTTCTCCAGTGTGTCTCTAGCTCTCTGCCATGAGATTCCACTAAGCAGACCAACCAGTTGAGTGTGATTAGGTGGTAATGAACAAGAATTTCCTATGATGTTGACATGTCTGCATCCAGGCCTGCGTTCAGATGCTGCTGAATGTTTCCACTCGGCTCACTTTCCCACTGTGCTTCCCTCTAACTGAAGTTACATGTAGCCATTACCAAGTAAATGCAGAGTTGCCTCCAGGACTTAAAATAAATCTCTGTGAAAGCCATCCTGCAGCTGTGGTCCCATCATTACCGTTCCATGTGACCAGACCATGTACACCCTGGTAACTCTGGTGTTACCCTGTGAGTTCTGTCCAGTTGGGGCGGGGGAAGTTTCCAGACCCCTCCTGCACCTGGCTGTCTAGACCTCAAGGACAAGGCTGAGCTGCCGTTCACCACAAACTAAGCATGGCACAAGGGCTGGGGCCATGTAGTCCTTTTTACTTTGTTTTTACCAAATGAGAAAGAGGAGTTCTAGGCAAATGCAACCAGGGAGAGCCTCTTTCAAAATTCATGAGGTCCATTTTATGGAGAAGGAAAATGGATGCAAAGAAATCAAGTGACCTGCACGATGTGGAATAGCAGTGAGTAGGGCAGCTGGGTGCCAGGCTCGCCAAGGCTGCCGTCCCGGTGCTGCCTGCACAGCCTTGCCCATGCCCAGCACTGCAGAGGCCCATCTTCCTCCTGCAGAAAAGGAGCAGAGCAGTCAGATGCAGCCCGGGCTCGCTGAATAGCGCCTCCTTTTGTCAGGCAGACACTGACCTTACAGGCAGGCACACCCTGAAAAGTCCCTTCCTTGGGGTCCATGGCTGACGAGCTCTGGGCCGGGGTGGCTCAAGCACCACCATGGAGTTGCACCCATCAGGGTTCTCATCTGCTGTGGTGGGCGAATTATGTCTATTTTGCCTTGAACACCAAGAATGATGTAAATGTATTCTAAAATCTGTTTATTGGTTTTATTACAACTTTTCTTGTAATCACTAAGAGGTAAAATGTAATTTAGAGGTTTTATCAAAGTATAGCACCAGAATGCCAGGTGAATGATGGAAGGCACTCCCAGTCTTAAGCAGATGTAAACTAGGCCTCATTTAAATCGTCTATGTGGATATGCACGGTCTGTGCTTTGCTGTACTGTGCTCCTGGGGGCAGAGGCAGTGTACAGCCCTCTCCGGGCACAGGCACAGCGGTCGGCCTCAGACACTGAGGAGCCGAGAAAGGCGCAGAGAAGGGAGAACCCACATGTGCTCTTCCTCCCACCCCGTCTCCCCGCAGACCGACAGTGTTGGCTAATCTTAGAGTTTTTAGTAAAAACCATCTCAGATAAATGAGAGTTAAACAAGAAAAGAAGCTGCTGCAGAAGATCAAGTTAGCTTGTTCACAAGGCCCAAAATTATTTATTTTAAAATAAAAGTTTCCATTCCTCATAGATGTGTCGTTGCTATGGCAGCATCTTCAGGGAGAAGTTGGGGAGTCTGTTCGCTGGCCCCCAGTTCACACCTTCTCACGTTTTCCAAGGCTAGGGTGCGTCTGGCCCCGAGTTGGGTCTGGCCTGGCCTATTTAAATCTCTGAGCCAGCTGCTCCAGGATTTCCATGAGCTTTTCCTCTTCCGCCGGTGAGGAGGATGTTCTAGCAAGAGGCAAGTGCGTAGAAACTGGTTTCCGATCTAGAAGCGAGAGGCAACCACAAAGACGTGTGAGCCGCTGCAGCGTGGACTGGCCTCAGTCCCTGTTGCTACTCAGGTCCCCGTCAGTCACTTAACTGACACCTGCTGGGGAGGAGGCAGAGGGGCCCATGCGGGAGTTGGACATGGTCCCTGCCCTCAGAGGTCCCAGGGGGCTCTGATAGGCACCTGGGGCCAGTCCTAACGCACAAGAGAGAAGTTAGAGCCGGGTTCTGATGGATTCAGACATCCTTCAGGCAAGGGTCATGACTGGGTGGAAGTTTGGGAAACAGCAGGTGGCAGCCAGGGCTGGGTGGGGGCACGTGTGGGCAGTGAGTGGGAGCAGGCACCACCACCCTCCTGGCCACCCCAGGGATCACCAGCACTTCACAGCAGCTCAGGCAAGGGTGGTTGGCATCAAGGGTGAGTAAAGAGCAGCAGGGAGAAGAGCCCAGCATCCCCTGAGGCCAAGGGTCCCTTCTGATGACATCAACTCTCACGCCTGCCTCCTCCCTCGAGCTTGCACCATTAGAAGTCTACTGAGCTAGGAACACAACCTGGAGGGACGATTGCACCCAGAGACAGAGAAGCAGAGTCACAGGTCCTCCCTCACACTGCTGTCCTGGGGCGCCCCCCACACCCCAGGACTCATAAGCTTCTGAGACAGCCTTTCATCCCGAGATGAGAATCACCCCCACCCTGTCCCCACAGGCCCTTACTGACAGGGTTATCACCAGACCCACCAAGTTCATAAAGATAAAGGGAAAAGGGGTGGGGGGCAAAGTCAGGGGTGAAGCTCTTCCCGGAACTAACCCCGACAGGCAAAGGAGTCATCTCATCAACGAAGCCCTGGCATGATCACAGGGAGAGGGGACAATCCCATCCCCGGGTTTCATGGAGGGGAGGGTGCACCATGAAGGCCGAGCTGCTGCCCCAGCCCTGTGGCACAGCCAGGGAGGACGTCACCTTGAAAGAAGAGGCCGCTGGGGTGCGCGGCCGCTGCAGGGGAGACGGGGAGCCACAGCACGGTGTCTGCGCCCTGGGCCGCAGAGCGCAGTCTGTCCCCGAGCCTGGCGTGGAACCCTGGCATGGACAGCCTCACAGCTGGGAGAAAAGGGCAGGTTGATTAGGACAGCATTCTCAAGTGAAGGGATTTCGTGTGCTTGGCTTCTTAATACCAACAATGTATCAAAAAATAAAATGGGATCAGAAACTGCTCTCTTTCTACTTGAAAATAACATTTATCCAAGCTGTTCTGAACCGATTCCAAAGAACCTTGTTATAAAGCCCCGGGGTATCGGCTGGTGGAAAGTGCTGTTCACCAGGGCCTGGGAGTGTGTCGGGTCCCCGTGTCCTGGGCTCTGGGGGTCAGCACCCCTCACAGCCCATCCTTGAGAGTAGAATCGGCCACAGAGCCCCCTTTCTAATGAGTAAGCCCTCCCACCTCTGCCTCCTGGGTTAGCAGTCTCTCTCAAGAGGTCCCAACCTCTCTGCGGATCCTGGCAGTTGAGTTCTTGGACTGTTTGAGTATTTTCATCTTTTTAGGGAGAAGTTTAGTAAGAAGGGAAAGAATTTTTTCAGTTCCCCTGCCAAGTTCCTTGGCCTCTTCCGCCCTCGGCACCCCTGCGCCCCAGGGCCACATAGTGGTGCTTCTCCCCTGGCCCCGAGCACAGGTGGCGCCTGCTAGGCCACTGCTCCCCAGCCAGTGGACGTGGCCCTGCTCTGCCTGCAGGCTACACCCCATTCCCGCAGACTTCAGGGAACACGGCGTCTCTAAAGTGAACACGTTGGGCAACAAAACAGTTCTCACCAAGCCAAGGAAAGAAAACAACCTTTAAGAGCCTTACTGAGATCACAGAATTTTAGAGACAGAAAGGATCATCTCATGTAAGGCCCTCATTTCTTTTAATTAAAAAGTAAACTTTTTCTTTTTACAGAAGCAATACTTGTTTGTTAAAGTATTAATTAGGAAAAATTAATTCCTTATTAAAGGAAAAATTAGGATATACCAATTAGCAAAAAGAAGGAACTTGACACCTTCTGCCATACCACTCGGAGAAGAAACTGTCCACGTGCTCAGGCCCCCTCCTGGGCCCCTGTGGCCACAGATGGGTCTCTGCACCTGAGGCCTGGCCATTACTCTATAACCTGTGGACAGCAGATGGTGAACTGCACGTTAGCCCAGATGTTAAATCCAGGTACTGGACAGATTCTGTAAACACACGAGGTGGTGTTGGAATTGCCAGGAGGGTGTTAATGGGAGTAGAAGAGGCTGGGGGCTCTCCACCGCCTGCCACAGCACCCTGGACAAGCAGGGCTGAGCATGTCTCCCATGAGGAAGTGAGAAGAATCAAGAAGCCACACTCTCCAAACACCCTGCCCGAATCCCCCCTGGTGCACTTTGCTGAGCACATCCTTTTGCATTCACAACAGGACACTACAGAACTTCCTGAGACCTGCCCAGCACAGGGCTGATTTCTGCCACATCTCCAACCCCGCTCCCCACGGGACACTACACAGTACCAACGTGCACCTCTCTCTGTAGGGGTGCGGCTGTAACAAAAACGAGATCCTAAGGCATGTACTATTTTGGAATCTGGTATCTTTTATTTAATGATATAGTGCAGACGGTTTTCTATTTCCATAGACATTTATCGACAGAGTTTTTAGGACTGAACAGGTTTCTTTTGTACAGGTGTTCAATAATTTATTAACTTCATCTCCTATCACCAGTGCTGTGACAAGCAACCTGGTTTCCCATATCTTTAATGATTTCTTAGGATGGATTTCAAGGATGTATACACAAATGTTAAGGCTTCTAATAAATAATGGTTTTCAGAAAGGTCGTGCCAGCATTGTATGAGAACCTGCTTCCCAAAAGGCTGTGGCAGCACCTGCTAGAAGGTCTTAATCTCTCTGTGCCTCAGTTTCCTTATCTGTAAATGGGTTTGACAGTAAATAGCAGTGCCCACCTCGCAGGGGCTGTGAGGACACATGAGTTAACATACAGCCAGCACTGAGACCTGCACTGGGCACCTCAGGTGCACCCTGGGATGTTTGCTGTGGCTGCTGCTGGGTTTAGTTTCCTTGTTTGAGGAGGAGGAAAGAGCCGCAGGGAGTCCAGGTGAGCTGCCTGAGGTCAGGGTTGATGGGCAGATCCGGAATAGGGCTCTGCTCTCCTTCACTGCTGCTCAAGGAGGCTTCCAGATAATTCCAGCTGTCTCCTTAGTGATTATCACTTACCTTCGTGCACTCATAATTTCCAGAAGCCTGGGAGTGATGAGGTGGCCTGGGCCAGTCCCCAGGCCCCGAATCCTCTCCCGTTGACTTCCCTCAGCCCCTGTTCATTCCTCTCTAGCACGGGGATGACATGGTCACCAGCTCCATCTCTCACCAGGACACTGCTGTAATTAGGCGGGCACCCCACCCCCACCCCGGCACCATTCCTTCCCCAGCTTTGCACCAGGCAAGCTGGAAACAAAAGCTCTGCCTCTGAGGATGAGGCTTCTCCCTCTCTAGTCCTGACATGCCCTCACTGAAATGGAAATGAAGTGACTCCTTAGTCCTCATTACACTGGTTTTAGGTCATTCCTGGGGAGAGTCAGTCCTGCGGCTGCTCAGATATTTTTAGATGAAACATAAGCTACCCGGCAATTAAAGGCGATGACTTACCTGGAGTGTCGACCCAGCCAGGATGCACTGAAGAGAAGTGGATGGCCGGGTGCATCTGAGCCCACCGCTCTGTCAGAACCACTTGCTGCCTCTGCACAGGAGTTGGGGGACAGGGAGAGGGAGGGCACCTTAGGGGCACACGGGTCATGCCCCTTCCCAGCCTGTCCTGGGCCCTGTGATGCATGTAGCCCCCTAATTTCACCTTCCTCTGCAGTGGGTCTTTACCCACAGGTGTGATAAGGACTGGCACCAGGTCCTGTCCCCTCCGTAGAGATGAGAACGAGCAGGGAACAGCGGGCCCCATGCTCCCCACGAAGTGAACTCCCCTCCGCATGCAGGTCTCCCTCCTTCACGGTCACTGTGTAGCTCTGTTCCCTGCTGCTCAGTGAGGGCAGGGCAGTGTCTGCCCCATGCACTGCTGTACCTCTGGTCCCTGGCACAGGCCAGCATGGACAGGGTGTTCAGTGAGGACAGGAATTAACTCCCGCCTTAGATAGAGCATAGCAAACATACCAGAAATGCTTAGAGAACACGTCAGCTCTAGACGATGAAAATCACTCAATACTCCCCACCCCCTGAAATCAAACCTCACTGCGTTCAGGCTACTGCCCAGTCCTGGGGCAGTTTGATCATGCTTTGCAAAGAACTCCATCTCTGGGCCTCATTTGTGACAAGGGACTGGTTGATTCCCCTGTCCTCTAGAAAAACTGTAAAGCAGTATGGCTCTTTCAAATCCTCCGTCAGGATTTGGAGTCATGAGAAGTAATCACCAGGGTGTGGTCTGAGGGCCATGAGCAAAAGTGGGGCACACGGGGCAGAGGTGGGGGTGGGAGGGCACCAGGCAGGCTCCCTTCAGAAGGCACACAGAGCACCAGCAGGGAAAGCCGACGGTGCTGGCAGCTTCACGAACGCCACGGGTGCTGCAGCAGGTGAATTTAAGGGCAAGAACCGCAAACGTCGAAGTTACCTATACCAGGCTTTTAAACATAGCGGTAATCTGCTGAGCTGTGGCAGCACGACTCTACCTTCTGTTAAAAAAAAACAGGCATGGCATCTGGACTCTTGCTCTTTCAGTTCTCTACAATCGAATGTGCACGCCCTTCAAAGCGAGCCCCGGGAAGCCAGAGTCGTTCTCATGGCATCTGTCTAGCCCGAGCGCCAGGCTGCCCAGAGGAGGGAGCTGTGCAGGGCACTGGGCAGGAGTGTGCCGGCTCCTGTTCCAGTGGCACCAGCCTTCACCATTTTCTATGTGGATCTAAGAAACACCAAAGACGGGTGGCAGCTTTTGTGGCTTCTCCCAGGCCCCTGCTGAAGGCCCACCCTAATCTGAGCAGAGCTACGCTTGGCTCCTGATGGAGAAGAGGGTTTCCTCTTGGCCAGGGAACGTTTTCAGGGGCTGCTGGGAACTGCTACTATCAATGTTCATCCCAGAGTAAGCCTTCCTTGGAAAAGAGCCCACGTGTCACATTAATAAGATGCAGTCTTGGGAAAACCACTTCACTTACCTTGTTTTGTGCATAGACCATAGTTCCATTAAATGCTGCCCTTTCTGACTGCAGATCACTGGTGTTCAATTTCTGAACCAACATTCCTCCTGAAGAGACTGTTATCTGCAATAATGTCATAGAGATTTACAAACAAAAGTTTGTACCACCCTACCATTCTTCCCTACCAGTGGACCAGTGTATTAGTTTTCTTGTTGCTGTTGTGACAAATGATCACAAACTTAGTGGCCTCAAACAACACCAATATATCCTCTTATAGTTCTGGAAGTCAGAAGTCTGACATGGGGCTTCTGGGGCTAAAATCCAGGTGCCGGCAGAGCCGTGTTCCCTCTGCAGGTTCTGGAGGAGAATCCATCCAGAGGCCACGGCACTCCTTGGCTCCTGGCCACATCACTCTGACCTCTGCCTCCATTGTCCCATCTCCTTCTCTGACCCTGGCCCTCCTTCCTGCCTCTTATTAGGCCCCTTGTGATTACATTGGGTCCACAGGGATAATCCAGGATATTCTCCCCATCTCCAGACCCTTAGACATATTCACAGGTCCCAGGGATTAGGACATGGACATCTTCGGGGGAGGAGTGTCATTAAACTGTTCCCTCCAGCAGAAAGTAGGCAGCTGTAGTGGACTGAATTATGTCCCCCAAAAGTCACTGAAAATTGAATTGTATTCCAAGTTTTATATATGAGAAACTCAGCCCCCACTGTGACTGTTAAGAGGGTGGGAAATCCTATTATGGTAACTGAAAGGTGGAGCCTTGAAGAGGTGGTTGGATTGTAGGACCTTGCCGTAGTGAATGGGTTATAAATGGTGGTCAGGGGCGTGGCTCTGAGGGCTTTAAAAGAAGAGGACGGTCTGTCTCTGCTGCTGTCTCTGCTTCCACCATCTTGCAATGTCACACCCCTGGGTCACTGTCGCTACCACCATATGGACTTTGGACTTCCCCACCTCAGAAACTGTAAGCAAATAAATGTCATTTTTCTTTATAATCACCCAGTTTCAGGTATTTTGTTATAGCAGCACAAAAAAGGACTAATACAGCAGCCTACATAAGCTGCCTTCTTCCTGATTTCTCTGATGTCCGTCATTTAAACCCACTGGGAGACAGCAGGCTCCCTCAGGCTGTCCCTTCCCATATGAGCAGGAGGGTCTCCAGGAAGGGTACCCACCACCCACCCTGAGGGCTCACACCGCTGCCCTCCCCAGAGCTTTGCCAGTGCTCACGTGACAGCTGGGGAGAAGCCTTCAGAGAGAGCTGGGTCTTTAACACAGCCCTGGACACAGTTCCACCTCCCTTTTGGCCCCCTGGCCAGAATTGGGTTTTCCCTGTGGATGTCTAGCTCCCTGAGGACAGTTGGGCAGCAAACCCAGGCCCACCAACTTCCCATCAGGAACAAAGTCAGTCACCCTCAAAACATCCCAGAAGGTCAACTCACCACTCTGGGGTCATGTTCTTTCTCCAGCACAGGGATCAGGGCAGTCGTGAGAATATACACACCTGAGGAGACACGAAGCTTCCCATGAGGGTGTGGTCCCACAGCCCACTCCGGGAGCCCCGAGGGGGACCCTCTGGAGGAGGCAGGCGGCCACCTGAGGTGCAGCCTCCCTCCCTCGCTCGGGATTCCCAAAGCCAGAGGTGGGGCCTGGCTACGTGGCGCTGGGGCTTGCTGGGCTGTTCCTGAGTCTCGTCATGTTTTCCTTTCCCCAGGATTGGAAGAAAGCGGCCTCAAAGCCTCTCGTATGGAGAGGAACAGATGCTCACACTACAGAACACAGGAAGGGAAAAAACGACCTGCGGAACAGTACATAAGCCCACTTCGTGGAAGGAAATATAGGTACATATGTTTAGTCTGAGCACAGAAACAGATGAATGTGCAATCTAGCAATACCGCTTCTGTTTCAAGGGTGGGATTAAGTAAAATCTTCACTCCCTTTGCTGTGCATTTCCATCCTATTAGATGTGAATATTTTTATGACGAGCATATAATTTTATGATTATGATTATTTCTGCAATCAAGAAATATTTTTAATAGAATGAGAAAAATGTTGAAGTGTACTTGACATGGAAAGACATTCATAAAATATGTGGAACAAGAAGTTAAAGAACAGCAGGAACCACACAATCTATTTTGGGGAGGAAGGGTGTGTCAAAACGGAGAGAATGTCTGCAGGGATATTTGGGGGCACAACGATGTTAAAAATGCTTATCTCTGAATGGTGTAATTATCATTTCAATGTTCTTCTTATATGTGGTTTTTAAAACAATGAACATATATTACCTTGTGTTTAAAAAAAGAGGAGGAGGGATTTAAAGTCCTTTACCTCAAAGTGAAGTGAGGTAGGGATTAAGTAAGGGGTTTAAAGTGACAGGCTCTGGGCTCTTTTCTGGCCTACACCTTGGAATTTGCTGTGGTTTGAATGTGTCCCCCAAAGTTCATGTGTTGGAAACTTAATCCCCAAAGCAAGAGTGTTGTGAGGTAGGGGCCTAATAAGAGATGATCAATAATAATAATCACCAAATAATGATGGCTCTGCCCTTGTGAATGGATTAGTGTCTTTATCTCAGAAGTGGGTTCGTTATCTCGAGAGTGGGTTTGTTACAAAAGTGAGTTCAGCCCTCTCTTGCCCTCTCATGGTGGGATGATGCAGCGAGAAGGCCCTCGCCAGTTGCTGGCCCCTCAACCTTGGACTTCCCAGTCTCCAGAACTGTAAAAAACAAATCTCTATTCTTTATAAATGACCCAGTCTTAGGTGTTCTGTTATAGCAACACAAGTGGACGAGACAGCATCACCGCATGACCACCTCTCACCACGGCTTCCTGCACTCAGCCTGCAGGACCAGCCTGGAATTGTGGAACTGGCACCTCCACTGGAGGTCGAGCTGGGGCCTGCATTAGAGCCCTGGCACCTACCAGCCAGTGGGCAAGGGCTGGAGCATTTTTGACTTTGGTTTCTTTACCTGTAGAAGGGAGATCATAGCTGGCCAGCCCACCTCACAAGATCAGAATTTTGTGATGAAATAAAAGTGCATGTATGTACTGTGAGGACTGGAAAGTTCTCTGGGCAGGTCAGTTTTGTCATTTTATAGCTGTATTATCATTTGTAATTCTGAGTTGTGACTTTCATCTCAAACAGCATTCTTAGATATCTACAGCCCAATTTATTTTTGGAGGGGCTGCCTCGTTCTTATCTGTGGATTTTAAAAGTCTCCTGGACCCTGGGTCTCGAACAGCTGTTAACCTCTATCCAGTGGCCTTGGACACTTCCTTTGTATTCGGGGCTGGTGACTTTCTCTGTGATTTAATTTGCGAGAAATAGAAAGGACTTCTGGCAAAAGCGATCTGCCCTGTCAGTCTGCCCTGGCAGATTGTCATAAATGACTCTGAGGAAGGGAAATAAAAGCTGACAGGAGGGGCTTGCTCCCCTGCCTGCCCAGGGCACCTCCTCTCTCCTCTCCAGGATGGCAAGGGCGAGGGTGAACCCGTCTGCACCCTTCTTCCCGACCTGGGAGGTGCTCACGCATTTTGTTTTCTGCGTCAGCCACCGTGAGAATGCACCTGTTTCAATTTAGATGTTAACAGAGTCACCTGCAGGAAGATTCACAGGACCGTTCATCCCTGCCAACTACTCTCTCCTCTAGGGCATGGCCAGGCAGTAGATGATTTTTAAAAACCCCTAGAGAAACAGCACAGTTTCTAACAGGAGGCTTTCCAGATCTTTTCAAAATCTTCCCTTTCCAAAACCCACAAAACAGGCCCTTCCTCATTCTCCTCCCCAGGCCCACCCACCTCGCAAAGGGAGCAGACTGAGACAGGTATGCTTCTGTCGGTTTCTTGCCACCCAGGTCACCAGGACATGCATGACTCTCCATACCAGAGGCATTGCTCCTCCCTGAGAAGGAGGCGAAGCAGCTCTTTCTAGCTACAAGCGGTTTACAACCCTCCAAGCTCCCAGCTGGCCTTCAGTGTCTTGTTCAGACCAGGGAAGAGAAACACAATAATAATCTGCTACGAAAATAACATAGAAATATATAAGATATGTGTGTGTGTATGTGCATATATACATATATATGTGTGTGTGTATGTGTGTGTGTATATATATATATATATATATAAATCTGTTTTTAAAAGAATTGAAATTAGGGGCCGGCCCGGTGGCTCACTGCTACAGTGCGCCGCTTGGGAGTGCGGTGGCGCTCCCACCCAGGGTTCGGATCCCACATACAGACCGGTTCCCGCTCACTGGCTGAGCGAGGTGCAGGCGCAACACCAAGGGTTGCAATCCCATTGCCGGTCCCGGTCCGGTACGGGCGTGACACTGAGGGTTGCGATCCGTTGCCAGTCACGAAAAAAGACAAAAAGGAAAAAAAAAAAAAAAGAATTGAAATTAGAGAATTCCAGAGAGGTTTAGTGACTTCTCCAGTGTTCCAGCAAGTCCATATAAAGTGGAAAACAGATGGCAAATCTCCCTCTTCTTGAATCATTAAACCACGCTGAGTCCCGACTAGTGCCAAGGGAGTAGGAATGTATCCCGCTGTTTGCAAGTCATTGTTCCCTCGGTGAACATAATGCCAGTTGCTCCTTGCCCAGTTCATACAGACCCAATCACAAGCCTGTCATTAACACGTGAGTCAATGTCACTCTCCTGCCCATGAAGTCCTTTAGCACTCTGGGTTCCCCACCAAATTAAGCAAAAAGCCCTCCTCAGCCTGGTGCAGTAGACTTCTTTTGGAGACACACCCCATTCCCTCCCCTTAGGGGTCGGCCCTGCACGCATCCTGTTTATAACAACAACGAACACATAACTGAGTCTTTACCCTGGACCGGGCACTGTGTTTGTCCCATGTGGCCTAGACCCCAAAGGCAGAGTGGACTGAGCTGGGGTGACACCTAATCCAAGCTGTGCCAGCTGAATTGTCCCCCCACCTTCCCCCTGTACTCAGAGTAGGATGCTTCACAGCACACCTGAGCCATATGCACGGAAAAGCAGAGGGGCTGCCTCCAGAGGGGAGAGGACAAGGTGGTTATGAAGACAGTCTGTGGACAACAGTCCCAGAGAACAAAGTGCAGCCTGGTTGCTGACGTCTCTCCTGTCCTCACCCAAAGCCACTGTGCCTCTGCCATTGAGTCCTGTGAGGGCTACCCTTGCAGCCCATTGAGAAATGATTTTTGTTTCGTCTGCTTGAGCGGGTTCCTGTTACTTGTAACAAAACAATCCCTAAGACACTTGGCTTGTCTTAGCTAGAAAGTCCACCAGTTCTCCTGGGATAATCAGCTACCTTTTAAAATGAGAATGTCTCTGGAAAGATACAAAACAGGCATCGCTGAAAATGGCGAATGTGTGCTTTCAGTCATTCATATCTTAGTGTGAACCAATTCAGTAACTTTCTTTTTTTCTAAGACTTCCCTGCTATTATCAGGGACATTTAAGAGATTCAGGATTTTGATGAGAGAAGAGAGACATTTTAGAGTATGGGCTCCCAGGGGAGGGCAGGCCTAGGTGTAGGGAAGGCACCTTCAGCTACTGGAAAATTTGCCCAAGGTTAGTCCTGTTCCTAGTAATAAGGAAAATAATTCATTATCATTATGACTCATTAGTATTTTTAATTTACACAATGCCTTCCTTCCAAGGAACTCATTATGTCGATGGAGGTTCATTATGAGAAAGAGATTTGGGAGTGGAATTTATGTTGGACACAGTCTTCTAAATATGGCAACAAGGACTTTTATTACATGGGCACATGACTTGAAGCAAATCTCTCTCTATAAACTAATTAAGAAGGGATGTAAAACTGTGTCAAGCCTGGGTAATACTGAAGGAGAGATGCTGAGTGTTCTTAAAGCTTTGCTAAAACCACATTTCCATCCTCCAAATATTAAATTCATCATGCTCCTGAAATTATACAATATCTTTGTTATGGTAGATTTTAATAGCATTAAAGGTAATTATTTTTTGATGAGAAAAATATATTGCAATTTGAAAATTTAGCATAGGAAAACTGGTTGGAGTTTCTATTAAGAAACCGTCTAAGCCACTTTGAATTAAAGCCACTTTGGTTAGTAGCCAATGGGTTATGTACTTCCCAACTGTGCTATCTGCCAGAGAAAATCCTTGTCCTTCTATCCCAGGGAAGCTCCTGGTGCAGATCTTAAAGCAGCAGACAGTTGCACTGGTGAATACCATTTGGTACTTCTTCAGTACAGTAATAAAAACATCCCATTGTGAGCCCACGGTACTCACACCTGACTTTACAAATTATATGAAGATGATTTCAAAGATCATACTACCTGAGGAAGCCAGCAGGACAGAGCCCAGAGAAAGCGAGCCATTAGAAGGCATCAGAGGCATTGTCTCTCATGGGGTATTCTTAGTTTGGGGTCAGAGAGTGGTGGCGGGGAGTCAGGTTGTCCCCCCTGCCTCCAACCTCAGCTCATCCCCCCTTGTCCCATTCCATTTACTCAACAAGTATTGATCAAGGGCCTGCTAAATGCCAGACCC